GCATAGGCGTAATTATCATGCAAGCCAGTCGATTGAGCATCATCATGAAATCGAAAAATCTGACAGTTATTCCTTATATTTACATGCTCTTGATTCCGCCAATCCACGTGTTACAAGCCCTGCTTCTTGTTTCTATTTGTCCCACCCTGCACATGAATTTTTTAACTGCGCATATCGATGAACCAGCATTGATGGAGAAATAAAGTACATTGACTATTTGTAATTTTATCTCGAACAAAGACATTGGAAATGTAAATATTTGGAAATTAAAGGAAAACATTGTTACAGAAAGGCTTAAAAATCTTTATAGATGTCATATATTAATTTTTCTTTTCCTTAATTTCAGGAATTGATTGGCCCAGTGATATTTCTATGGAAACAGTTTCCACGGAAACAGGTCTCACACCTTCATGCAGAAAACATTTTGACGGTGACATATCAGGTAACGAAAACACTTCTTTTTTCTGAGTGGTTTTCCTTTTAGAAGAATTGTTGCTTGTCCATTATGGCTTTCCCTTGAGTAGGTGGATCCCAGAATTTTTCTTCTTGCGAGTGGGAATCTTGAAATTGAGAGTGTATAATCGTACATCAATTTTAAAAACCCACTCAGCTCCCTGTAAGCTAAATCCATCAGTGCATTATGCCCCTTTGGTCTTTCCCTTTTGGAAGTTTTACCTAAATGTTAATTTTTCTTCACTAATGATTCCCTCATCAAATCAGAAATTGCTCAGTTTTTTTTTTTTTTTTGAGAAATTGTCTTACAGTCGCAGAATATATATATATTTCTAGGAGTGAAACGGTTCACCGCGGTATCGGTTCATCGCGGTATTTTTTCTCGGTTCGATACACGGTACAAAATCTCTGCTTTCGGTTCGGTTTGTTTTACGGTCGGGATCGTCATTCAGTCGGGTTTGGCATAAGGTATAAACATGCTTTTCTGTATAATTAGTTTAGAAATGTAAGTTTGTGTGGACTTGAAGTTTGTAAAATAATTTTTAACAGTCAAATCAATTAAATTGATACATTCTATCCATTTTGCACATAAATTATTGTACTAGATTAAGTAAAAGGTAGCATAAAACAACATTGAATCTGTTTCCTTCTATCAAAATGTATCGTATCGAAAATAACCGAACCGAGACCAAATTTTTCGATACGTATCGAACCGTGAAGGAGGCGTATCGTTTCACCCCTAATATTTTCTTTAGTTTGTGATCAGAGAATTGATTAGAAATTAAGGTATTTTTTACCCTTGAAAAGATAAAAGTGAAGTAGTCTCACATACACCTATTTTTGACCTATTATTGTCAATTTGTCTATGAAATGATCATTGATAATTTTTAAGGGCCCTCACTTAGCCCATGACTATTTTGAGAGATATCTCCTAATTATCGACTCAACATTCACAAATATTTTCTCTCCTAAATGCAGTCAAGTCTGTGTTAAGTATTTTTTTAAAAAGACAAGACCCCAAGATTTATTCCCAATATAAACTGCTAGCTCTTTAAGTTGATAATACACCACGAAATCCAAATATTTTTCTTGACGGAACAGTCAAGAGCGAGGTATTGTGTCGTTTGCCCTCGCGAGCGATTTAAATATTTGATCTTTGTTCTGCTCCAGGATGACCTACAATTGTAGTGTCTTCTTGTTAAACTGTGCCGTGAAGCGTGTCCTGTCTTTTTTCTTCTCTATCGAAATCTTTTTAGCCTGCCCAGGTAGAGAGAAGGAGAGAGAGAGAGGATCCCGTTTTATTTATTTTTTTCTTTCACTTTTCTGATATAAAAGATTTGTCATTCGTGACTACACGCTCCAGTCGTTAAGGTTTTTTTTTTGGCAGTGTACCTACATGAGGCAACACGAGAGAATTTTTTGGGCGAGTCCTTGAACGTTTACTTCAATGTCATTTTAGTGCATTTTGTTAAGGAAAAAAAAAATTATAGAAGTACACCTTGCAATGCCTGCATTTCAAATCATTTTAAAACAAAAATCTGTTTAATCAGAAATGTAAACACATTTTCACATTTTGTACTTAAAAAAAAGATGGAACAGGCAAATATATCATAGGCTGGCTAAATGTTATTGAAATATCATAAAATTTACATGTACACTTACATATCTAGAAATTGCAAATAAAAGGGGTATCAGAAATACACATGAAGCTGGATGTCTTGAACTTTGAATTGTGAAATTTTTGGAAAGAAATATGTCGGCTTAAAAAGCAATAGAAGCTTCCAGCTTGACTGACACCTTTTCTACATGTAAAGTCTTTAAATTCCTCAAATCTGATATTTTAGTCATTTAAAAATTTTTTTGAATACATTTGATCATATTTATATCTTAATTTTTTATTAAGCACTTTTTTGTAAACGTTGAATTTTTTTTTTTTTTTTTTTTTTTTTTAAATTATTTCATTATTATCATTGTTATATATATCAGATATGCTGCTGTGGAAGCCCATAAACCATGACCTGAAAACCCTGAAACTTAAAAAAGGGTTATGTTTATTGCTATGTTTTGTTATGGCGATATGAATTTTTCAATCTGTTTGCATATTTGTATTAGGTGAGGGTGTTTTAATAACACGGAATCAAGTCAAGTAGTCTTAAGGCTATAGCAGTTTAATTCCTATTTAGCTGTTAATACAGTATTGTTAACAATGGATTAAAGTTGTGTTTCGTGTGTGAAGAGTTTGCTGTTTATCATGTTCTATATGAAACACAACTATAAAAGTTATAGCATTCCTATATTCATTATGTTCAATATATATTATTATACCTCATTATAAATATTCTAAACAACGCATTATCTGATTAGTTCTAAGTTATCATGTGATTGGGCCGTAAAACTTCACATTTCCCGGTCGTCGGAACGCTTTTCATTATATTCCACCTCTTCGGAACACCTAGTGTATTTTCCCGCAATATAGTTCTTGTTCAGTGAACAAATACTCCCGAGAGAAGTAGACGTCACAATAGCCTGGTTTACGTCACAAAACTGATGATAATGTGTTGAACAAAGCATTTTATAGAAACTTTACATAAAAAATGAAAATGAATTTGAGACAGGTGTGGAATTTGAAAGTTTATGTTTTATTTCAAAGGTTTTGCTTGTTTCGGTATAATAAACAATTCATTGCATGAATGTTCTGGAAACATGAAGACTTATTCATCCAAGAAATATCATATTCCCCTCGGGCTAAGCCCTCGGGGAATATGATTTTTCTTGGCTGAATAAGTCTTCATATTTCCCTCACTGTCATGCAATAAATGTATATTGTACAAAGGTAAATGACATTGGACTCCCAGACATAAATAATATTAAATATAATTGAAAGTTTATAAAGATAAATTGATTGATACATGTATCGGTATTAAAAAGTAAATAATTTTAGAAAAATTCAAAGGCAGATCCAGCATGAGGGCATCAATCCACCCCACCCCCAACCCCGGTTTTACCAGCCCCACCAAACAACCAAGCCCCTTGAAATTGTGTTTGTTAAACATGTACTATTTACCTTCAGTTTGTAAAAATTTATTAGCTTATAGGGGGTTTGCCACACCACAGCTTTGCTCTGGACCTGTTGGGGGCATCAAATTATGATGCAGTCCCCAGACGTCCTGCTTTTTACTGTGCCTCCTGTCATGAAATTCCTGAATCCACTACCAAAATCTATATATTCTTTTGATTTTATGAGGAAAAGATTAATAATTTGAAATATATCCATCAGATTACTACCTAGAGATTTTTTTTTTCAAATGCCACCAAGGTAAAACTTCATGTAGTAAAAAAGCAGGGAATTAGTTTAGTGTCAATTGGATTTGGTCTCTGGATTAAGTTGGAGATCTATTTTCTGAAAATGTACAACATGTAGTATCTAATCACTTCAGTAGAGATCTACACATATTTATTTTTTAAAACATGTACAGGTATATTTTTTTTCCTATTCATTAAAATTTATTTCTTAAAATTACTCTGTCCACTGCACAAATTTCCTGTTCACATTCTTATTTTTTTAAGTCTTTTGTTTTTATGGTAACTCATATATTCCGTAAATAAAAAAAGAAAATTAATGGTCTTCCTGCAATCCTACACTCAAAAAAGGAGCGTTTTCTAAAATTGGAAAAACAAAAAAATCAGTTTCTCCCAGGAACCTATATACTATGTATAAAGATAAATGTCTGTCAATCCTGGTGTCTATTTAGCATATTTTGAAATTCAGTAGCACCCAGGAGGAAGTTTGGAACCTAAACTTGTCACAAAACGCTGAAATGATCCTGATCGCTCAAACTTGGATTGTACCTTTAGTTAAGTAATGTCGGGCGACAGACGGGCTAACGAGAAGGTTCATTATCAGTTTATTATAGTACATATGCATATTATATTGACTGTCTCTAATCTTCTTCTTCCAGTCCCTTTTGAAATTGTGTCATTTTTTTTTTACTCGTGTGTGTGTTGAGTTCAGATGTAAAAGTGCATTGCGTTCGTTTGGGGAATGTTTGTGGAAGATGTTTGTCGAGACTTATTGGTGTCGAGATTAGACTTTATAAAATATGATTTGTCTGTAAGAAGTAAAAGTGTGCTTCATTACATCAATCAGGTGTCGCATAAAAGGTCAAAACGGATCATAAGACCAAGATAAAAGACATACATATTTTCATTGAAGAAGATAATTTTTTGATAGCATCAGTGCATGTACAGTCTTTTTGACTTGAAGTAATTATATGCTCCTTCCATTTATATACATACATTTAATTAAATAACTTAAAAAGAACTTTTGAAGGTAGTACAAATGAACCGTATACTAGTATGTAACTTACACTATCAAAAACTGAATATACATGTAAATGACTTTTCTTTTCTTTTTTTGTTGTCTGAAGCAAAAAAAAAAATCTATTAGCAAAAAGTATATATCATTTATTGGATTCAAAAGTATGCGAGACGTAAAAAAAGAGTTTTTAAAGACTACGAGATATTAAATGTGGTATGTAATAAAAACGTGGCTGTCTAATAACAAGACCCATTATGTCATAATATGTGCAGTCGGTGTATGTATATACGCCGTGTAAGTCGGCGGCGAGATCAATCAATTTCCTCTAAGGTGGAGACACCGTGCTCTCGGGAATAAAAGGGGAGAATGATTTACATTTTTGGGACCAATCAATAACTCGTTACAGAACTTTACCTGTAAAACGACCTGCCCGCCCCTCGCCAATGGACCGCTCCAGTTGGAGCCAGCCATTCTGAAGTATGAGTAGTATATATATTGGAAGGAATGCGTGCAAAGCAAACCACTGCCGACCTACAACCGAGCCGAGAGGCCACAAAGGGGGTATTGTCTCTCAAACAATTAGAGAAAAAAATGTCAGTAATTATAGGGATGGGTTTTTTCTTTCTTATTCATACTCGCTGTCTCTTTCCCATAGACCGTGCAATTGTTCTGACAGTCATAACTGATTGAGTGACTTTGTTCTGAAATTTTTTTTGAATGAAGGTGTAATTTATTGTGGCCCGGAAACAATGACTGTTGCAATGAAGTATAGACTTGTTGCCTGAAGGATGAAATCGTATATACTCCCTGAAAGTAAATAAGTAAATAAATTAATGAGAGAGAAGCTAATTGAGTAAATGTAATCCAGGTTTTTATTAAAAATAAATCAGATGGTTTCGGACCAAAAAAAAAAAAAAAGAAGAAGAACAATCGATATCGTAAACTAATTTACAATACATGCATGTCATAAGTACATGTAAGCTCATACTGCATATTAGTTAAGATAACACAATGTGTTAATTAATAGATAATTTAATGATTACTTTTTCTATTTGAATATTTAGATAAATATTTATTTTTTTAAGGTAAAAAAATCGAGAGAGAGAGAAAGAGCGAGAGACTCAGAGAGAGAGAGATTTCGTAAAGGTTGTTCAATTGCCAGATCAGGATTTGTCGTTTTTATTTAGGTACCGTACAAATATATACCTTTGAGTCCTTGGAAAAAAATGTTACTGATATTGAAATACTAATTGAATATATTGATTGAGATTTAGATTGCAGAGGTTTCAGAAACGCATGGTAACAGTTGATACCCCCCCCCCCCCCCCCCCTCTCTCTACTAAAATCCTGGGGGCACAAATAGGACAGAACATTCAGTGTCACAGCCTTGTCATGTCATAAATTTTGAATTTTCCGGTAAGCAGTAAATACAAAATTTACAACATATTTCATTCTACATTTTACACTATCTACATTCGAAAATTAGAGTTACATGGCCCTTCTTACGTTCTAAAGCTTGCAAATTTGCAGCTCACTGTTACGGAAAAAATGATGAAAAGTCTAGATCAGATTCAATATTTTTTTTCTCTCATGGTTTCAGTTCTGAAGCTTTAACTTTTACCATAAGCTAAGAACTGTACATGTAAGTTGATGTATACACATTTATTAATAACTTGGTGTGTTTCTATTTTTAGACTCCTCTGTGGGTGAGGACTGTGGGTCGGGTATGGCGGACCACTGGTGTTCCGTGGCTTACTGGGAACTACGTCAACGGGTGGGACGGCTGTACATCGTACACGAACCTTATCTCAACATATTTCAAGATCTACCTCACGGGAACGGTTTCTCCTTGGGTCTAGTCCAAGGCAAAACGGATGTGGACTGTGTGAAACGGACGCGGGAAAAAATAGGGCTCGGCCTCGTTTTGAGTCGGGAAGCAGACGGAGTTTGGTTGTACAATCGGTCAAATTTTCCGGTGTTTGTGAACTCTCCCACGTTAGATAACCCTAGTTCTCGAACGTCTGTTGTGATTAAAGTGAACCCGGGATATTCTATGAATATTTTTAATTACGATATGGCCAGTGTTTTTAGTGCTGTTAAAGAGAGGAGCTGTCTGGATGGGCCCTATGACCCGACGTCCATACGGATTAGTTTTGCCAAAGGATGGGGACCTTCGTATCACAGGCAGTTTATTACGTCATGTCCGGCATGGTTAGAAGTACTACTCAATATAAACAGGTGACGTCACGCCAATCGTCACGTGACGTCAGTTGCCATAGAAACATTTTATGTTCATTTATATATTTAAATGAATTATCAAAGAGATCATGTTATTTATAATGTCATAACACACCGAATTGTAGTT